ACTTTAATATTATCCATTGATTTGTTGATTTTTTTTGAAGTAGTATTAATGCCATTTTTATTACAATCACACCATGGACAGAAATACTGTGCATTAGCAGCATTCATTCCTAAACAAATTGCTAAAAATTTCCAATCGGAACTGAAATATAGTTCTACGGGCCATTGGTTGCCACCTATTTGATTAAAACCTTTCTCTTTTAATATACATAAATCAGAAATTAAAGGAGTTAATACATTCTTAAGAGACTCATATGTTTCAGCTCCTGGATATAAAACCAAAGTATAGTGGTTATCTGGTTTTTGTAATCCATTTAAATCATTCAATAATGTCATTGTGACCATTACATGTTTCACTTTGCGTCCAACATTATGCCCATCTCCTGAAATTCGAATATGTAATGTTGATTGTCTAGGAATTAAAATTCCTTTTTCAATATATAATGGTATTATATAGTTTAAAATATCTGTTATACGACGTTGACCTCCTTTTCCAATTAATTCTAACATATTTGTAATAATTTCACTATCAGTAATATTTGGTTCTTCTCTAATTGGTTCAAATTTAGTCGGTTGCAATAAATCAACAAGAGTTAGTGGGACCTGTTTCTTCATTTCTGCATTAATTTTTTGCCGTATATCACATACTGCCTTTTCACGTGGAAGATCTTCAATTCGTGCTAGAGATCGATAAGCTTCTCTTGATATATGACCTTTATCCAAAGATTTAACTACTGCTTCAATTTTTTTTATTTCCTCTATTTTATTCACCTTTCCAAAATTAATATCATATACATCATCATCTATCTCAAATTTTATTTGTTTAAGTTTTATTTGATCATCTGGATGAAATGTATTGTCTCTTTCTCTTTCAACAATATCTAAAATACTCTGTGATAATCCAAGTATTCTGCGACGTTTTTGAGAATTACCAAGATCAATAAATGGCCGAATTTTAAGATCTAGAGACATTGTTCTACGCACTCGTTCAACACTAAGTAACTTGAGACCAAAAAGTAAAGTACCAGATATTTTTCCTTTATTTTCTTTGTTTGACTGGTCCCTATTTTGATTTTTCTCCATTTCTTTCATTCCATTAAACTCCTAATAGAATAATTAGTTAATATTTATTTCAACAATAAAAAATATTTTTAAAAAATAAATGTACCTGATAATACTTGCAGGCAGCATCTGTAGATGTCTCCCAGGAATGTACTTCTCTTGAAAAGTTAACTCCAAAGCAAATTTTGTATAAGGGTTTTTTTTCCACATATTCAATTGAACATTCAACTGTATATATTGCTTTTCCATATTGGGTCTTGACAACATAATTATGAGGAATTGGATGTTTCGGATTCCTGGTATAATGAAGTTGTTCTGTAAGAGGATATGTTCCCTCTTTTATTATCTCGTAAAAATAGGTTCTTTTATTATCAAAAAGTTTTATAAATGAACTTTTAGGATAAGTGCCTTCTTCTTTCATAATTTATGTTTTACGTAATTATACTAGATTTATAAAAATAAAAAACGAATATATTAAAAATGTGATAAGTAATAAAAAAAATTATTTGAAAAAATTTAATATCATAATAATGAAAAAAAAAAAAATATTTAAAAAAAAAGATGCGTCAAAAAATGTCTATCAGATCAAAATTTGTTATGCTTTTAAATCAAGATTAAAACCTGTATTCAATCCAAATTTAGTTATAAGCCTGATGATCATTTCCCAAATTGAAAACTTGACCTTACTTATTTAATCTATTTATATACCTGACAATTGTAATCTGACAGACAAGAATCGATCTGAGGCACAACATGTACTGTACATGAATTTTTTTTGCGTGATTTTTTTTAAAACTATTTTTTTAGAACAGATAACCTGAAAAGTGTATATTATATATATGCCTCAGTAAGTTTTTAGGGAAAGGTTTAATATTAATGTATTTTTATTAATAGTATTTCTTTTTCTTTATAGGAAATAGACTTGGAGACCTTGTATTTGGCATCTCTTTAATAAATTACACGTCAGAGTTTGCCGAACCAGTTCAAGAAAAGTTTAGCAAATTTAAAAATATTGAAATTCCAAAAGCTATTAATTATGAGCTCCTAGTGTATTATTTATACGGTGATGTGCTCACCATATTGGGTTAGTTAGACAAGAGGGTTTTCTAGCATTTCGATTGTATATTTTTTTAGGTGGTTCTTCCAGTTTCCTTAGACGCAAAATTTTGGTAAGTTTTTTTTATTTTTATTTTTTTCTTAATTGTTTTTATTTTAACAAACAATTTCTAACAGTTTGTTCTTTCCTTTATCTAGGCAGTTCTCTTTGGATATTGGATTCTAGTAAGGTTAATTTCTATTTTTTTTGTATTTTATTTTAGTGAACTTTACTAACAGTTCATTTTTTCCAATTTTTTCATTTCTTTTAGATTTTGCCAATTCTCTCTGAAAATAGAGGTGGTGTCCTTCTTTTTTGTTTTCTTCTGTCTTGTTTTCTTTTGCCTTTTTATTAACTTTTATTTTTCTTTTTTGTAGATTTTGTCTTTTTTTTCTTTTAGATTTTTGCGGCTTCTTTTTTTCAGATTTCTCTAGGTTTGCTTGTTCTCTTCAGGTTATTTTTTTTTCTTTTCATTTCATTACTAATTTTCACCTTTCTTTTTCATTTTTTTAGGTTCTAATACTTTTTCTTAGGTTTCTGCAGCTTTCTTTACGGAATAGAGATTGGTATTCTTTTACTTTAATTTTATTTTTCCGTCATTTTCTTTACTAATTTATTCTTTCTTTGGCTGGCTCTTTTTTTTTTTAGGTGCCAGCGATTTTTCTTTTTTAGGCTTGACGGTTCTCTTTGGAAATAAAGGTTAATGCCCAAATTTTTTCATTATTTTTTCTTTGTTTCGTTTTCTTTTACTAATGTTCATTTTGTTCATTTATTTCTTTTCTATAGGTTTCAGACAGCTTGTTCTTAGAATCTGTAAGTTCCAGTACTTTTTTCTTTATAATTTAACAAAACTTTAACTAACGATTTCTTTTTTTTTCCTTTTTTAGGCGGATTTCTTAGACGTGCGTAATGGTGTGTGGTATTTTTCTTTAACTTGTTTATTTATGAACTATTAACTAACAGTTTTTTCCTTTTTTAGGTAATTTTTCAGGCTCTTGGACACACAGGAAATTTGGTGAGAGGAACAAATGATTACTACATTTCGCTTTTTTGGACTATTTAAAAATGATTTTTTTAACTTTTTTTATATTTGTAGGAATGGTATCACATCGGAACCCTAGGTAAGTTTTTCGAGAAGCTTTTGAAAGCATCTTCAAAGAAAATAATATATTAAAGTATTTTTTTTATTTGTAGTCTCCGCACTTCTTTTCTTTGAATGACTTTTTTTTAATGAAACTCTCACTAACGTTTCATTCATTCTTTTTTTTTAGATGGTTCTTAAGTGTGGAATTTCAGTTGAAATTTGTCAATTACGAATTTAGAGATCTTGGGATGTTTTAATGGGTCATCATAAAGATGTGATCCAAATCATCAAGATTAACTGGATTATCTGTCAGAACCTCCCTTGAAAGGTATTTTAAAGATAAAGATGGCAGATTTTTTTTTTAATTAGGGATTTTAGTAAAAGTTACTAACACCTCTTTATTTATTTATTTTTTTATAGAAAGGAACCACTTCAGTATTAATGGAACAGCTTTTGAAGGCATTTAAAGGAGAAGGGAATTTTTTAGTCTGGGATTATCTAGCTAATGGATTGATCAGATTCATCCAGATCGTACCTCAGGGTGAAGGATATATTTCACTGCTTTCTTATTGTAGCAAGTTTACTATTAGCGTGAAAACATTTTGAGTAAAAAAATTTAGTTTAACAAAGTACCTCATAATTAGCCACATGTCAACACTTTTAATTATTATCTTTTATCTAATAATAATTTACGTCATGAATGCATTATTTATTAAAAGCGTATGTAAAGTTAAACTAGTCATATATATGGTTAAAGTAGCTATTACATTGCAACGATTCTAGTAAAGTAGCTGCTAGAAATTTGTTTTTTATTTAGAATCTTCGTATTTTAATATAATGTTAATTTTAGCCAAAATTACGCTAATTCTGGCCAAATTTTAAATCGCACTAAACTGTATTTTTTAAAAGTCGAATATACTTATCGGATTATTGTATTACATATTCTATTTTTGCTGCATCTTTGTTGCTATAAAATTCAACGTATTTGGATGATGAATCAAATTCGCCGATATGTATTATATATTTCTACACAAAGGTAACATGAAATGTCCCGATGTTCAGTCTTTGATGTTTTAAAAGTCAAAGAATTTGTTTATTGGTTTAAAAAATCTTATCATAAAAAAACGTTTCATTTAATAAAATTATTAATTTTAAAATAGTCAATAAAATAATCTTACAGTACTTCGTACTTTTTTTTTGATGTAAAAAATTTTATTTTTTTTTTTGTATATTTGTTTCAATTCTGTGTAAATATTATTTTAAACTTTTTTTTAATATTGTTATTTTTATTTATTTATTTATTTATTTTTAGAGATTACTTAAAGAACTTCATATGATTCTGTGTTGTTATTTAAAAAATCAGCGGGAGTTTATATTTTTATACTCTCAAGTCTCAATAACAATTTCCATTAAAAAAAAAGGTCTAGAATCATGGAATGTATTATATACAGTATTTTATTTCGACTCATATTTTTCTGATTACATACAAAAAAAAGAGAACATTCCAAAAGAAAGAGATTTTTGAAAAATCTCCTCTTTTTTTTTAGGTTGCACCACATTATGTACCGTATTGTATCGTACTGTATGTGCTAATATATAATAATATTATACTGTATTTATAAACACTCCTTCAAACAAATTCATCATAACATTACATTACGCTGATAATATGTATTCTGAAAATCTGTTGAATTTACATAGTAATTATTTATATATTATCCTATATCGAATGTTTGAATAAAAATTCTAGAAGCATTAGTTATTATGCAGTATAAAATTAATTGCTATTTGAATGACCAAAATAGAATAGAAATAATTTTTCAATAATGCAGTATAATAAATAACGAAATAAATAATATATATATATATATTAAAATAATAACAAAGAAACAAAATCATTTTACGATTAAAATAAGTAATTGTACAAAAAAAAGTATTAACATTTAAATAAATTAATAAAGACTTTTTTAATAAAAACAATAAAAACAGTTGATGTGAAATGTCATAATACATTTCAAATAAATTTTACACTAACTTTTAATGGTAGAATTTGTTTTTGTCAGAGTTACCAATATTTCTGAATGCAGTAAAACATAATGAAGTCTTTGAATCGATCGAAAGGTGTTGATTTAAAGACTATATACTAAAAATAAGAATCTTTCTGATGTTTATAATTGGTTATTTTTTATTATGATGCTGAAAAAAAAAATACTGCAAAACTTTAAATCATTTTATTTACTTTTTTTTTAAAAAAATAAAATAATGTTTGAAATATATTAGATACGATTTTCAATTTACTTATTATTTGTGTATGGTATGCAAAACTTTAATTCATATAATTAATGATAAGAATTGTTTACTCCAATTATTATTTTCAAAGCTAAATTATTGTATACTCCAATCAGGTTCTTTTTTGATGATTGCATATTAAATAAATAAAATTTTTTTTTTCTTTAAATGAAGAAGAAAATAAAAATAAAAAACAAAAAGAGTAGAGTAACTGTAATGTGAAAATCATTAAAAGCATTCAAATTCTTACCTCATCTTTAGATAAAAAAAAATCAAAAAATACAGTAATTTTATACGTTAATTATTAAATTACTTTACTAAAAATGGCCAATTTTTTGAAATGATTTTGTAATAATTTAAAATACCACAAAAATACAATTAATACATCAAAATGTTTTTATTATATTTTTGTTATTATTTTGTAATTATATTGTATCTAGGTCTATAAAAATAACTCAAAATAATATCACAATAATTTTTTAATATTTTTGTTATTATTTTATTATTATAATATAATTAATTTTGATATTATTTTAATATTTTAATCTCAAAAATACCTCAAATATATCTTGATATATTTTAAAAATTTTACAAAATAATTGCATAATTGTTTTGAAAGCCATTGTATTTAGGTCTATAAAAATATTTCAAAAAATTGGCCATTTTTAGTAAAGTATGTCATAAAGCAATTCAAAAACCCTGGGATTGTGGGACATACAGGATGCACATGCAGTTATGTAGTATGTATGATTTCAATGAATTGTTCTTGATTTTCCAGAAATAGAAATTGGACGTTTAATAGTAATCATTAATATGAATAAAGAAACGAAACACAATAATAATAAATATATGTAACCAGTTTATATCAGTTTATCTTTAGCAATTATGAACCAATCATAAAATGTAACTTTTTTAAGATTATTTTTTGTTTTTTTTTTTGAACAATTCAAGGCATGTTCCTTAAATGATTAATTTCTATTCTTTCTTTATAATAAAATGGATAAAATGGGAGCGGGACAATCAAAATTTCCTAAATGATATCATTCATTTAGAAGAAAAAAACAATCAAGCAATGAAAACATTACAGTGCAAAATTCATCGAAACAAGAACCGGTATCATCAATTCCAAAATTTCAAGTGTGAATGAACATATAAATTATTTACATCAACATCATTTCCTCATTAAATCAATTTTGGTCCACAAATTTTTCTTCTCCAATTGAAGATACTTTAAACTTTAAAGGATGGGACTAAAGTTTTAGATGTACGATGTGGAACTGGAATATTCTCTTAGAATTATCAAATAAATATCCACTTTTAGAATTTACTGGAATTGATAAGACAAAATTATTTCCCTCATTAATTAAACCTAGTAATTTAAATTTTATCCATGCTAATATATTGGAAGGTTTACCTTTTCAACAAAATCATTTTGATTTTGTTCATTTAAACATAGTTGAACCACGTCATACTAAAGATCAATGGGCTTTTATTATGAGTGAATTAATAAGGGTAGCGAAACCAGGTGGATACATAGAAGTAAGTATAATATTTTTACTGCAAGTTTTATGTCTACAAATTAATATTTTTATTTCTTTATTATAAAGATTCAGGGATTTGATTCTTTGCAGGAACAATTGGTCCAAGATTTTTAAAATTCATACAAAGATGTAAGTTTATAATTTAATTAAAAAATTTGTAAAATTAATTCATAACAGCTAAGGCTCACAGACCTAAACCTGTAGTTTTTAAAACGAATATAAGTTACATTTCTATAAATTCTATTTGTTTTTTCTAATAATTTTTATATTTATAATAAATAATACACTGTTATTTGTCAAAATTACCATGTGTGATGTGTACGATCAATAAAGGTTATGAAGTACAGACTATTTGTATACTTTTAATTAATACCTGAAATTACAGTATTTTCTAAAATAGAAATACGTTTAAATGCAAATACATAATGTTTGAAATATATGAATAAAATTTTCAGTTCATTTATAATGTAGTATAATTATTTTAAATTGAAAGAAAAATTCATATTATTTGTACGCTAATAATAGTTTCATTTCTTGCTTTAAAAGCTTTAAAAGTAGATGATTGACATTTTTGACGATTATCAATTAAGAGTAAGGATGGTGTTAACTGATTCAGTACGTTGAATAGATTAACTATGATTTGCAGTCAGGGAGATTAAGTACGTTTAACTATGACTGAAATCCAATCAAACAAGATACGCTTAAAATAGGTAGTTCGTTTATAGTGTAAAAGGTTATACTTTATTATAGAACTTTATAATTACAAGAATAAGAACTAATAGGAACTAAGGTGAACTAATTCGAACTAAACTTATAACGAAGGAAAATACTAACATTATTTATATAAAAGTTACTACATATAAAGATATAATAAATATAATAGATATAATAAATATAAGAAATATAACTAATATAATAAATATAACTAATATAATAAATATAACTAATATAATAAATATAATAAATAAAATAATTATATCGATTATATTAAATATAATTAATATAATAAATATAATAAAAATAATAAAAATAATAGGCTAAGTAGGCTGCGGCTAGGTTGGCTTGGCACAGTTGGGCACAGTAGATCCTAATTTTCCACATGATCTTCTAGCATAATAAATTGTAATTCTACACGTGACTAGGAGTAACAACGGCATAATTTTGTTAATTCTATGTAAAAAATTAACCAAAATTTAGCTCGGTTGAATTTTCATCCGTTTGGATGATTTATTACTATTATTTTTCTTTTTACGTTTTAAATTCATTAAATTGTGCATTTTGTATATATATCCCTATAAAAAAAATTCTGGAAAACATGATCATTTTTCTGGTTTTTATTCTGAAGAAACTCAGACGTGATCATTTTTCTGAAAAATTTTTTATAGGGTATGAGATATCACTAAAGAATCCTTCTCTTGTTTGATAAAATGCACATATAATTATTAAAATATGCTAATCTATCTCTGTTTTAAGGAGAATGCAAGTTTTACACTTGTAAACGATCTGCTCCATTACACTAATTACTAAAAAAAAAAATTTGATTTTATGTTGAAAACTACGGTGTACCGTTTGGACCAAAAGTGACAAAATTATGAAAATCGAAATTTTGAAATTTGAAATTTCAGATTTTTGAAATTTCCTTTTTTGAAATTTCCTTTTATGTGAAATTCCCTTAAATGGTATGGATCGACATAAATTCGTGTCATGAAATTTCCTGTTTTTGATGTATGTGTAACATTGATTATTACCATTTAAGGGAATTTTACATAAAAGGAAATTTCGAAAATTAAAAATTTCAATTTTCAATTTTCAAAAATTCAATCAATTTTTTGAAATTTGAAATTTCCAAAAAAGGAAATTTCATTAAAAATCATCAAATTCATGACCAGCCTTAGGTTGGGTTATTGACCAACATTATTAAAGTAAATGTTTTTAAATTTTAATAAGAATGTTGCAAAACATTTATATTTGACAGTTTATTATGAAAATATTTCTTGGCAAATAATTTAATAGAAAATATGTTTTCATGACATTAATGTTTTTTTTATTAAATATATTATTGAAAAACACTTTCACAATATTTTTCATTAAAATCATTAAAAAGTGTTGTGAAAAGTATTTTATATTATTTAAACCATTTTTGCAATTTTATTTATTAAAATTATTAACAAGCATTACAAAAGCATTTTTGCAATATTTTAAATATTTTATTAAAATTATTAAAAATAATTATACTTACAATTTTTTTTTATTAATTATATTAAAGATGTTGCAAAAACATATTTTTTATTTAACTAAATATTTAGAAACTCTTTTTATTAAAAGATTTATAACATTTTTTTTATGAAAAAAAAATTGGTTTTCTACCAAATTATTATAAAAACATTTACATGTTTTTTTTATTAAATGGTTAAAAAAAAAAATTTTTATTGAGTTATTAAAAGGTCAGTCAAACTGTGATCCAACCTGAGAAAGTTAGATCATGACTTTGATTGATGAAATTTCCTTTTTTGGAAATTTCAAATTTCAAAAAATTGAAATTGTGAAAATCAAATTTTGAATTTTGAAATTTGAAATTTGAAATTTTTGATTTTCGAAATTTCCTTTTATGTGAAATTCCCTTAAATGGTAATGATCGACGTTGCACATACATCCAAAACAGGAAATTTCGTGACACGAATTTATGTCAATCCATACCATTTAAGGGAATTTCACATAAAAGGAAATTTCAAAAAAGGAAATTTCAAACATCCGAAATTTCAAATTTCAAAATTTCGATTTTCATAATTTTGTCACTTTTGGTCCAAATGGTACACCATAGAAAACCTTGTTAATAGTTCGAGTTTTAATTTCAGAAATGAAAAAGACTCAGAGATTGAAACGCGGCTAGTTAGGGTTAGATTAGGGTTAGGATTAGGGTATGGGATAGAGGTCTGCATTTGCCCATATTTTAAAACCCGGCCCGGCCCGAAAATAATATATGAATATATATGCCAGCCCGGGCCTTAAATATATATTTTATGCCAACCCAGCCCGGCCCAGATTCATAATATCAAAACCCGGCCCAACCCGGAATTCTTATAATTATTTAGTATATAAATGTAAATCATTTTAGTATAGTGATTTTGGCAAATCAAGAAATTCAATAATAATATTCATTTATATAAACAGTTGAAACAAAATTCACTAATTATTTGAAAATGTTGATATTTAATATAATAAAAATTGTGAATATTAATAATATATAATAAAAATTTTGAAGTATAACGTGAAAATATAATGTAGATCACAATTATAAATTTTGTGTACAGCAATTTGATAATTTTAAACAACGCGAAAACTTAGTGATTTGAAATAACAGATAATGTATTTATTTATAAATAAAAATTTTGTATAGTAATTTACTATTTCTTTTTAAAAAAAATAATTTTATTATAAATAATTTAATAAATAAAAATTTATTTATTTTTTTTAGCAAATCAACTATTTTTAACAGTTGATTGTAATTCATATTATGATGCGCGTTTTTATTTTTTTTTTATTAAAATTAAAATAAACAATAAGAATTTAAAAGAAACAAACCAATTTCACAATTATAATTCAATAATAATAAAAAACAAAATAAAATTTTATTTATTTATTTATTTATTCTATTTATTTAAAAAAAAATAATGAAATTGTAGCATAACATTTAAATTTTTTTTAAAAAACAATACAAGCGAAAAGTTATATTAGAAAAATTTATTAACTATAATATACTATAATACACTAAAAAGGAAATAAATTATATAAAATTAAATCAAAAAATGTGTAAAAATAAAATAAAAATTATTATATTTAATATTAAAAAACTTAAATTTAAATTTCGGCCAGAATTAACAAAATTTTGGCCAGAATTAATAAAATTCCGGGTTGAGAATCTAAACCCGGACCTGGCCCGGAAAATTTATGAAAATCAAATGCCGGCCCGGACCCAGCCCAGGTGAATTTTGAAGGAAAATTTGCTGGCCCAAACCCGGATCCGGGTCTGGGCCGGGTCCGGGTTTCCGGGTTGCGGGTCCCGTTTGCAGACCTCTAGTATGGGATTAGTGTTATATTAGGGTTGGTTAGGATTAGAGCCAATAATTATAAAATTCAAATAAAGTGGATGAACGATATCTTTGTTTTTAAAACTTTGTGACATTTGAAACAAAAACTTTCAAAAAAAAGATCAACAGCATATTTTTCTTTATGAAATGAGATTGATAAACATATTTGTCTACTATACAGAAGGATGCGGTTTTGTTTTTTTAATTTTTCCCACAATACAAATGTGTCTATATAAATCACATGTCCGCCTGGTTGTGATGTTTAACTTACATAATCACGTGATTGGAGGATCTGTTTATGCTCAGCGACTTGGTTTTTTGAGTGGTCCGCAGTTTATTTGACACAAACTCCATTTGTCACAACCCAGAGAAATTTAGAGGGAAGCCGTAATGCATGACTTCTTAAAGAAAAATATATGCATATTAGAAAAATTATTTATAATAGGAGAATTAAATTTTGTGGAAAAAATATAATATTTGAAGGAGAAAGTTGCTGCGGTACGAATCACGGGTAAAGTATGGAGAGTCCCAGATAACTTGCATTATATGTACAAACAAAATTCTCCTGTACATTTATTACATGTTAATTTACTCTACAGAAATTATATTGTTTCATTCTTGATCAATGTTACTTTTTTTTTTATTCTAACATATAGTTTATTACAATTATATTAAAAATGTCTTATTTCTATTCTTTTGTAAATTATAATCACAAATTTAAGTCTATGGTAGATACTCTCTTTTTAAATAGACAAAATGCACTTCAATATTCTTGAGATGTTTCAATATATCCAGATAGTATTGATATATGTTTAATTAAATGTAAACAATATTGGAAGAAAATAATTTATACACTTCATGAAGTTAGTTTTTGAAGAACTCACTACATATTATCCAAGATCACTAATCAATAATATTCCATCGTGAAAATCAATGAATTAATAAATTTATTATTCGGATTATATTTTTTTGCCAATAAATTAATAAACTTTCATAATTCATTTCCATCATTATAATCATATAAATAATAATTATTGAGTAAGAGGTTGAAATATCATCGAACTGCTAAGATATTCAATACCATTCCCAATAATTGTGTTATTATGCAGGCGACCAAAGATCATGCTTCATAAAAATAAACGCGATAATGAAGCTATTTAGTTAACATATAGCGTTTTACTTATAAAATTTAATATACAGTATGTGATATTTAATCTAAATGATACTTAAGCAATAATTATTTTATCTAAAAAATATCAGTATGTTAAAACCGACATGATCCTATTTAGCTGCATAATAACTTAATGTATCTAGATCCTGTGTTATTCCAAATAATGGAACTAGATATTAATTATTAACTCTGACATTGTAAGCGTAATCTATATACCTAGTCTGCCGTTCCGTTTAGAATAGACGAATAGTCTCCATATAAATAATTTGAATTGTGTAACATGAAACCCGTGCCATAATATGAAAACCCCGTGACATACTTGCGCTGATCTATTCCTTATTTATTATTACACTAAATCGTTACGTAATCATTTCTTTCGTTAAAACATTTTTTTATTAAAACCTTATATTTTTATTTAAATCTACATCATTACATCTTAAAAAAAAAAAAAAAATAATTATAATTCTACAAAAATTCTTCTCTTAGATATGACTTTTTTAGTAGAAATAATAAATTGAATGGTTTCTTATAATCCTTTCATGTTCATTATTCGCCACGTTGTTTATTAAAAATAAATTCAATTGAAAATAACTAAATAGATTTTCATCAATCATGTCTATATTGATTTTTTAAATAAGATTTAAAAATAATAACAAATTAATAATTTTGTTTATTTTAAAAATTCTTTGAATATTAATCAAGGATACTATCTATTCATTAAGTATGACAATCGAATTTGTTAAAACACAAATTGTATTCGCTGAAAAAAAATAAATAAATAAATAAAAGTAAATTATTAATTTTAAATTATAATATTAAGTATAGAAAGTACAATAATAAATGGTAGTAATATTTTCTTTTTTTTTGGTTATGAGGTGTAAAATACTACGCCTCAAGGTCACAAGGGCACAACATGAGTTTGATCAACAATTTGCATTTTACTAATTTATCTCGGAGTAACGAACTTAAAAATAATTATTTCTTTCTTTCTCATTATGTCCACTCTTCGATATGAGTTAATTTATGCAACAAATAATAAAGCAAATACATTAATAGATACTAATATTTACAATGATATACACAAACAATTTGAATTTAAAAAACANTCATTAACCGGAATTGGATCTGTCTCTTATACACATCTAGATGTGTATAAGAGACAGACTATAGATTATGATCGAGATAAAGTTATAAAAAATGATGGTACAAAAAGAATTTGTGAAAATTGTAACCAAGAATGTTTAGCCACATTATATTGTGAATATTGTGTTCGAAATTATTTAAAAGAAAATTTTCCAAATTGGACATCCGGGAATGATGATATTGATAATTTAATACAGAAATGTCAAATGGAATCACTCATGCCGAGTAAAATAGTTGAATGGATCCCATATAGTAATTTAGAAAATATTAAATATTTAACAAAAGGTGGATTCTCAGAAATTTATACAGCAGATTGGATTAATGGAAGGTATAAAGAATGGGATTCTGAAAAAAAACAATTAAAAAGATTTGGAAATTTCAAAGTAATATTAAAAAAATTAGAAAATGTTGAAAGTGCAAATCAAAGTTGGTTTAAAGAGGTTTGTATTCTATATTTCATAAAATTGTTGTAATTTTTTGTATTAGCACTAGTATTTTTACAAATTATTGTCTTTTAGGCTAAATCACATTTAACTATAAGTAATAAATGGCCAGTTGTTTTTCGATGTTATGGTTTAACACAAAATCCATCAAATGGAAATTATTTTCTTGTAATGATGAAAATGGATATAGATTTAAGAAAATATTTACAACAAAATCATAATCAACTTACATGGAAAAAGAGAATTAATATTACTTATGAAATAATTCATGCACTTTATTTTATTCATAAAGAGAAAGCAATTCATAGAGATTTACATTCTGGAAATATATTATATTCACAATATAATGATCATTGGTATATTAGTGATCTTGGATTTTGTGGACCTGCTGATAAATCTTCAACAAGTATATATGGAAATCTTCCNTCTTTAGTAAACATTATAATAAAAATGTAAAATTAGAGATTGGAATTAACCAAGATATTTTTGTTAAGCATCCTAGTAATTGGTTATTAGTATGATTTAAAAAGCGTGTTCCAATTTCTAAATTACAACAATAACAGATTAGAAAAATAACGAAATTATTTTATTTTTTTTTTACGTAGTATTTTTTTTTAACAGGAAAAATAAACCAATTATTTTTTTTTTAAAATAAAAAAATTATCCTCAAAGAGAACAATACACGTTATTAAAAGAACTGGTAAGTTAACTTTACAAAATAAAACTAGTATTCTACCCCGTTGTGCAATGTGAGATATACTCCTGTCTCTTATACACATCTAGATGTGTATAAGAGACAGATTCAAATCAGAAATAGATAATTTAGAAATGAATAAAGTAGAAGAAAATTATACGAGTAGCAGATTATTTACAAGTAAAATTCACAACTTTGGAAATCTACCTGAACCAAGAAATGCAACAGAAGGTATTAGTGTATAATATTTTATTAATGAATTTATTTATTTTAAAATATATTATTAATTTGTCTTTTTTTGAATTTATATTATAATAGAAGAACAAGAAGGTAAATAATAATTTCTACAATTTTTTATAATAATCCAGTTTTTAAAATACTTAATACTTTAATTTTAGTAATTTACTTACTATTTGATTTTATTTGCAACTTTTTAAATAATTTAGATAATTTTTTATTACTATCTAAAAATTAAGATATTAGATTTAATATTTAAATCAATCTCGATTTGACAATAATTAAAATACATTACCTCTAAAAATAGAAATTACTTTCGATGATTTGCTATTTCGCTTATTTGATTTATTAAAATCATCAACTAAAATAAATATCAATTATTAAACATCATTATGTAATAATTCAACGCTGTAATGTTAATAACTTACTATTGTTAGGAATGTTAAAATCATACAATTTACTATGAAACACTATTAGTAGTAACAAAATAAAATAAAATTTATTTATTAAATGCGACTTTTATTAAAATTTAGATGATGAAAAGGAAATAATTCAACATGTCGATGGTAAGTGAAAATTTTACGTAATAACAAACAATTTTTATACTATTTTAAGTATGTTTATTTTCTTATAGATGATGACGAAGTATATAATAATCCAAATCTTCATTCAGAAGAACAAGATGAACTGGAAATTCCTGATGGTAAGTTCTTAAATAAATTAAATTTCTTTTTAAAGCAAATAATTAATTAATAATTTTTATTTTTTATCTTTAGATGGATTTTAAATCATTTAACAATGTTTTTTTTTATATTTTAAATTATTATCATTTATTTACTATTTCAGTATTTATTTTTTTATCTTGGATTATTTAAACACTAAGACTAGAGAGTAAACAAATGTTTTAAATGACCTCATGAAAGTATAACAAGATATTGTGCAAACGTTCTATATTAAAAAATTTGTTTTTAATTTTTTACAATAACCTCTTGTTAATTCCATAAAATTTATTATGTATTTGCATGATATATAATAAAATATATAACTCTCAATAATTAATAAAAATTTTTATTGTAATGCATCAAAATTCTTTTTATATAGCATAAAAGTAGGAACTTCAATTTCAATTTAAGCTTAAGGTTAAGCTGTTTCAAGAAAAAGAACTTAAACGTACTAGTTTCTATGAAAATTATTCCGTGTTTTTTTTTATTTCATGTAAATTTATCATAGTATTCACAGAGTTTTTATAGAAATTACGGATAAAATTTTTTATAGGGCTACTATATTTAAATTAGGTTATTTAAATTAGTTATTGTAAAAACTACATATTTCTTGAAAATTTTTAACGTATCATATTGGGTGGGTACGCAAAAAAGGGGGTCTTTTAGTCAGTGCTATAAATTAGGAGTAGTTAATAAATTGATTAAATTCAAAAATTATTCAAGTATCAGACGGTTAGAGTGGAAATAAGTCTATTATAAATTAGTAAATTAGTAGAATTCGGAGTAGTCATTGGTAATAATTACGTTTGCTGTATCTGCCGGAACTAAACATTCAATTTTAATTGTCCTAAACTTCCCACGCTTGGAAATTCAGCCTCTCTTTCCTCTTTAGACTTATTTTATCTCAAAAGAAATAACATGTTTTTAAATTCATATAAGGTCGTATTGTAAAATATTACCACTTTTATTTTTCTCATGTTTTGAAAAGGGAAGCATTAATCATGAAAATAACAACACATGAAATGAGATACTTTATTAGATCTAAAGGTCGCGCCAAAATAAGGATTTGAACCACCTATATTACATGGATTATGTAAATGGGATTGCAGCTCATGCAATAGTTAAACATCTTACGAATAATAATCCTGAATTATTGAAAACTATTAGTCAAAAATCATATTTTTGCAAAATTTTGAAAACTAACACACAATGTCTAAGGAATAAATTTGATTTACTACTAAACCACATTCTCAAATTCAGTGCGAAATAAATTTCATTACAAGTGCTTTCACCAATGATCGTCATATCATAATTTCCCGACAATGATTGCCCGAAAAGACATTCCAAAATAGACATTTTACCACCGACATGTCTACTCGACACCCAAGATACATAGAAATATATATCTTTAGTAAACATTATAATAAAAATGTAAAATTAGAGATTGGAATTAACCAAGATATTTTTGTTAAGCATCCTAGTAATTGGTTATTAGTATGATTTAAAAAGCGTGTTCCAATTTCTAAATTACAACAATAACAGATTAGAAAAATAACGAAATTATTTTATTTTTTTTTTACGTAGTATTTTTTTTTAACAGGAAAAATAAACCAATTATTTTTTTTTTAAAATAAAAAAATTATCCTCAAAGAGAACAATACACGTTATTAAAAGAACTGGTAAGTTAACTTTACAAAATAAAACTAGTATTCTACCCCGTTGTGCAATGTGAGATATACTCAATGAGCAAAAATAAACCAATTAAATTATAAAATTAAGAAATAATGTCATTATAATTCCATTAGAACTTTCGAATGCTTTACAATTGATATTCATTTTATTATATTATTTGATAAAAAAATTCTGATATTAATCGATTAATTAACCTGTTAAGGATTAACTTATAAATGAGTTTATTAAAGAAATTTCACAAAAGAAGGTTAGAAGTATTAAAAACTATGAATAAATAGTAAATTGACCCAATAATATCTTTAATATTACGATGGTATATGGATCGTCAACTTAAATGATATTATCAATGAGTCCGATAAGTCATGTACTACAATAACCTATCAATATATAACAATCGAAATGTAATATCAAACAAATAACTTTAATTCATTGACGTATTTCACAACATTTATCACATTTTCTTTTTTGTGTGCGTAAAAAATTCGAAAATACTATGATCTACAAAAACCAGTCACATTGCGGAATTCATTGCATTTAAAATCAATTTTGATTGGCTCAAATATCCATTTGACAGTTTTGATTGGTTTCTTTTTTTTTTTAAAAAAAAAAGGAGCGTGGTACTTGAGTCTAGAACAAGGTCATTAAAGAAACAAAATTATGGGTTTTTGACATTTTGTAAATAAACAAAAAAAAAAAAATGATGAATATTATATAATAATAATATACCATACCGTAAAAATATTTAATAAATTTAATTACGATAAAAATATTAAAAGGCATAAAATAATTTATTTTGTCACATTTATTTATAGTAAATTACAGTTGTACAGTTATTACCTAAATCAATAAAAATCGGAATAAAATTATTTTTAAGTTATTGTCCCATAACATTAACACATGTCCCAACATATCCAGTAAAGTATCTATGGCGTTATTTTTGGATGATAAATCCAGGCGTAAATGCAGTAAACAAATTGGATGTTTTAAATTTATTTTATTTATCTTAAAAATAAATATTTTTATAAACATTCTAATCTAAGGAATTACTAGAAAAAAAAGGAGCCCAGAACTCCAGATCATTATCACGTATGATTTATCAATCTAAATAATTTGGTAATAATCTGCAAAGTGATACCGTATAGTGATCTGCCAAGAAATAATCGAGATTATAAATATTTATATTTGGCAAACAACGAAATTTGATAGGTTCATTTATCTTTTTTATTTATAAATTTGATAATGTGAATTAAAAATTCAATAATTTTTATCCAATAAAAAAATAATAAACTTATTGGACATAGGACAAAATAGAAATTAAAAATAAATCAATAAATTATGACCTTTTACATAAAAATGGTATTTAATTATATAGTATTGGACTTTTTAAGTTATTGGTGAGTCAAAGTACAAATGCCTATGAGCCTTATTAGGTATTACACAAAGGTACATACACGTGTTTACGTTATTGTAAATGTAGGTGTACCATCAAACTAATTAAATCAAATCTTATCATATAAAGTTTATTATTAGAGAATTTATGTCGGTTATGAATTGAATACCAGGTATTTTAGATTCATTCGGATTTTTTAACTTTATTTTCTGATATTAATAAATTACATCTCGGAAAGTCCATTAAAATTTCCGAAATTCTAAAAATAAACCATGCATTTGTGCAATCATGAAAGATTAGACAAACGTAATACCTCGCATTTTTTGAAAATACTAAAGAAAACATTTTTTTCCTATTGAGAGTATCTAAAAGAGCTAAAAAGGCTTGAATCATTTACTTTTTTAGATATTTGAAGCGTTCTTAAATGAAAACAATACGTGTGAATTTTAACAGGTATTACAGTGGTATTACTAATTTACTATAAGTTATTATGATCGTCATTCTTTTACATGAATATATGAATACTTTACATATTAATTAATTGATGGTACACCTGGTACACCTCAATGTGACACGGTCTCTGCAGATCTGCCATTAAAGTAAATAACCGATTTTGTATCATTTTCCCTATAAAAAAATATGATAATTATCTACTTGAATATATATGAATATAAGGTTATAGATACGATTAATCCCGACAGTAACAAAAATTTTTTATTTCTTATTTATTTGACTTTATTTTATTTTAGGAAATTTTTTTTTTTTTTTTAAAGTTTTAAACAAATTCATTATATTCTAGAAAGAATATTCTTTCAATAACCGATTATCTTACTAATTCATTTCTGTTTATAGAAAATTCTTTCATTGCATATATTATATATTTATTTATATACATATACATTGAGGTTCCTATAATGTTTTGACTTTTGAGCCCTCGTTTGCGAATAAATAAATTTCCGATCTACAAATAAAACAAAATTCTGGTAACTTTGTTACACAAATGTCTCATACAATATTTTTACAATTAAAAAAAGTTATATAAGAAAAAAAAACAAAAAAAAAAAAAAAAAA